AGACCACCGGGACTGATACAGCTGCCCAGGTAAACCAATTTTTCTACTACCTCAATCGGTTCATCCGCAAGCATGAGGCTAGGGTTCCAGCCGACCCAGTCTTGCAGTAGCACTTTACACTTTGCAGGTGTGAAGCGCATACCAAACCGCGAAGCAGAATTATTTAGATTATTTAATATTGTTTGCATTGCCAGGGGTCAGATCCTAGAAGAGCGATGTAGTCTGCGTACTCGGTGTCAGTGAGCGGAGGTCCAGGGAGCACACGGCGAACAAAGCGGTCAGTCATATCGGCGGTAGCCGATATAATTGATGCGCAGATACAGGAATGTCGGTAGGCTTTTAATTGTGGAGATCGGGAGGGGAGCTATGCATCGAAGGCAATAACTCGGATGCACGAGCGCCACTGAGGGCGCGACTGCGTCATGTTTGACAAGGTCTCCAGCCATTGATTAGTTACGTCTCGCGGTCTCCGTCCAGGAGGACGGCAATGACCAGCGCGCCTGATTTTGGCGGTAATAGCCTTCATACTTCGCTGCCAAGTTATTGTTCGATTTCCCCTTCACGACGTCGCGCGAAGGAATTCGGTCGTCTGGCATACGGAGCACGTGGCCAAGCTAGTGCAACCTATGGCGTGTGCTCAGTCCATCGATTGTTGGCGAGTTGTTTCTTCCGGAAACCATCCGACGTGTATCAGCACAACTGGTTAGGTTACCATCGGACTCGGGCAATGTGTCTTTCGACGTTCTCAGCGCGCAACGACCAGGCTTCTGACCCACATAATAATATGGAGCACAAAATGGGATCGTAAATAGTGCGATAGACAATTAGTATTTTTATTCTTTCCCTATAACATACACTTGAATTTTTCTCCTGACAAAATAAACGATCGGGCGTTGGAAAGCCACAGAATGAATCTGAAGTCCGGGCCTGAGCCAATGAATTAGTTCCTGTAGTAGGATACAACAGTAAGCAGCATAAAAGCAGTCTGTTTCAACTGTTTCCCATTTGGTAAGTGATTATGAGCACTGGAGAGCCTTTAAGCACACATTATAGATAATTCATCCTAAAAGTGTTGAGTCATAAGACGAGTTGACTGGAAACAGTCTATACATTTTTCGCGGTAAGATGCCCACTATTTTCCATGAAAGTTTTTGCTAAGAGTTAAGACTACCCTACGGGAAGTAGAGAGGTGGTCGGTTTGAGACACTTCAAGGAGCACTCACATTGTACCCTGAAATTTGCGAACACCTTCCTCTCCTTAGGACATATTACGGGGTTGGCGTGAAACCAAGGATTCCTCATGTCAACATGGAAAATCATAGAAGTGACAACAGTAAGAATTGGAGGCCAGTTTAGAAAGTATTGCCCAGTGAACCAAAACGCGTGATGAGATGTCGTTCATCAGGGAAGAATAATTGGCTAGTAGTGCTCTTGGATTCGAATGAGTCGCAACCTCAACTCGACATTTATTTCAAAGGAGCAGTAAACCGACATTCAACGTTGGCTCTATGGATTAGAGTTCTCACGTACAACAAACTCCTTCTCCTACTCAATTTCCTTCTTTAACTGGAGGAACGAATTGCAGGCCGGGTCACGATGAACAGATGAAAGCAACACATTTTGAAGGTAGTCACGAGAAACATCGTAGCACACACTCACCACTCGATAGTTAATCCAGTCTTCCAAACTGAATGTCAATTGCCCACCAATCTCCTCGGGTAAATGATCTTGGTCAATAAATGGCAACAATTCCGTTGGCTTGTCCACAAAACTGATTGGAAATTTAGAACCATCACGTATCCAACCCATGGTGCGTTCGACGAAAAAGCGCTGTAATAACCCCTGAGGTTTCAGGACATATATGTGATGCACCCCGGTAGTGAAAAAACTCTACACGAAGGTGAAGGATGAGAGCACATGGAAAAACCTCACCTGTATCTTTGTCGTGAGTAGCTTCACACTGTTCCAATCGGCTGTGCGTCTGTCTATGAGCACAGTGAAATCACGTACGGGTGAGTGTATACTGTTAGTGGAATCAAGAAACATCAAATTCGTCCAAAAACGAAGAAACTTACGATGACAGGTTAGTGAAATAGACCATCAGTAAAGAGAATGCATCATCTGAGAGGACAATACCACTAGGAACGTCTGGAAATATAATCAAAGATCTGAATTCTCTGTCGTGACCGCCTGAAACAGGGAGTACAGGCATGAATTTTCAACCATTGAAGCTTACCCGTAAAAATGGCATACTTCGTTCGTAGTGCATGTTCGATGTCGTTTGTCAGAGTTTTCGACAGTGAGTCGGTAGACATGATGTACCCGTCCAGTAATGTAAAATACACTTGGGACTCTGCTCATCCATGAGCCAGGTGAACAGGACAAGTGGTTGGGTCAGTGCATAATGGATAGTCGGATTGAAGCCTAAAACAAAACAGGATGATTTATACAATTTTCGACTAGCACGAGAAAAGCTTTAAACAACCTGGTGATGATCAATCGGACACAGAAGATTTCTTTAAAAACTCGTATCCTCATCATCGGCAGCATGACATCAGTGTTCAACAGTGAGGATTAGCTTCCGTACAACCATGATTTATTTGAAAGCCTTATTTGAAGAAAACGATAAAAGTCGATCGGGAAAGGACTGAGTGATAGCTTACTGCGATCATTCCGAGGTGTCTACACCTCCAGACATTCATTCAGGCAATCTCGATAGAAACCGACAATAAGAAAGCCACTGACATCCATTGGGTTCGATACCAATGTGCACGTATGAAAAGAAATGTGAACATATTCCGATCCCTATATTCACAAACTCCTGGGCTTGTGAGAGTGTATGGTGAGCTTCCAAAAAGCTTCGCTACAAAAGGTGGTGTCAAACAAGAATGTCTATTCTCTTCGTTCTTGTTCAAGTTCATCATTGATGAAAAATGAGGCGAACATCATCACTACCGGTTGCTAGAACGGCGTACTTGTCATACAGTGGCTGTAGCTGCTACAGTTTCGTTCACTGATCCTGCTGTGCCATGTCAACATGGAAAATCATAGAAGTGACAACAGTAAGAATTGGAGGCCAGTTTAGAAAGTATTGCCCAGTGAACCAAAACGCGTGATGAGATGTCGTTCATCAGGGAAGAATAATTGGCTAGTAGTGCTCTTGGATTCGAATGAGTCGCAACCTCAACTCGACATTTATTTCAAAGGAGCAGTAAACCGACATTCAACGTTGGCTCTATGGATTAGAGTTCTCACGTACAACAAACTCCTTCTCCTACTCAATTTCCTTCTTTAACTGGAGGAACGAATTGCAGGCCGGGTCACGATGAACAGATGAAAGCAACACATTTTGAAGGTAGTCACGAGAAACATCGTAGCACACACTCACCACTCGATAGTTAATCCAGTCTTCCAAACTGAATGTCAATTGCCCACCAATCTCCTCGGGTAAATGATCTTGGTCAATAAATGGCAACAATTCCGTTGGCTTGTCCACAAAACTGATTGGAAATTTAGAACCATCACGTATCCAACCCATGGTGCGTTCGACGAAAAAGCGCTGTAATAACCCCTGAGGTTTCAGGACATATATGTGATGCACCCCGGTAGTGAAAAAACTCTACACGAAGGTGAAGGATGAGAGCACATGGAAAAACCTCACCTGTATCTTTGTCGTGAGTAGCTTCACACTGTTCCAATCGGCTGTGCGTCTGTCTATGAGCACAGTGAAATCACGTACGGGTGAGTGTATACTGTTAGTGGAATCAAGAAACATCAAATTCGTCCAAAAACGAAGAAACTTACGATGACAGGTTAGTGAAATAGACCATCAGTAAAGAGAATGCATCATCTGAGAGGACAATACCACTAGGAACGTCTGGAAATATAATCAAAGATCTGAATTCTCTGTCGTGACCGCCTGAAACAGGGAGTACAGGCATGAATTTTCAACCATTGAAGCTTACCCGTAAAAATGGCATACTTCGTTCGTAGTGCATGTTCGATGTCGTTTGTCAGAGTTTTCGACAGTGAGTCGGTAGACATGATGTACCCGTCCAGTAATGTAAAATACACTTGGGACTCTGCTCATCCATGAGCCAGGTGAACAGGACAAGTGGTTGGGTCAGTGCATAATGGATAGTCGGATTGAAGCCTAAAACAAAACAGGATGATTTATACAATTTTCGACTAGCACGAGAAAAGCTTTAAACAACCTGGTGATGATCAATCGGACACAGAAGATTTCTTTAAAAACTCGTATCCTCATCATCGGCAGCATGACATCAGTGTTCAACAGTGAGGATTAGCTTCCGTACAACCATGATTTATTTGAAAGCCTTATTTGAAGAAAACGATAAAAGTCGATCGGGAAAGGACTGAGTGATAGCTTACTGCGATCATTCCGAGGTGTCTACACCTCCAGACATTCATTCAGGCAATCTCGATAGAAACCGACAATAAGAAAGCCACTGACATCCATTGGGTTCGATACCAATGTGCACGTATGAAAAGAAATGTGAACATATTCCGATCCCTATATTCACAAACTCCTGGGCTTGTGAGAGTGTATGGTGAGCTTCCAAAAAGCTTCGCTACAAAAGGTGGTGTCAAACAAGAATGTCTATTCTCTTCGTTCTTGTTCAAGTTCATCATTGATGAAAAATGAGGCGAACATCATCACTACCGGTTGCTAGAACGGCGTACTTGTCATACAGTGGCTGTAGCTGCTACAGTTTCGTTCACTGATTACTTCGGGAGCTGGGGTAGGGAGATGCGCATTGGTGGCGGGAGTTTATGGGTTGGGGCACAGATACAGGTCTGTCGGTGGACTTTTGGGTGGAGGGTTAGCAAGGGAGTTATGCAATGAAGATAACAGTTTGCATGCATGAGCGCCACTGATAGCGCAAAGGGACCACACCCATAACCGCTGTGTCCCGTACAGTGATCCCTATCCAGGGAGACGGCAATGACCAGCGCAGCCGAGTTAGCTGGTAATTGCTCTCACACTTCGCTGCCAAGTCATTGTTCGACCACCGCTGGCTAGTTTAAACATTTCGCGTGGTTCTGCAAAAAGAACGCGGCAGGTGGCCGAGTCAGTGAAACCTATGCAGTGTGATCAGTTCATCTATCGTTAGTGAGTTATTTCTTCCGGATACTATTCGACTTGAGCATTGCCCAGGTAAACAAATTTGTCTACTACCTCAAGTAGGTAGAGCGCGAATTTACTGACCGGAAGGTCCGTGGTTCGAACCTGACCTCCGTCTCTCGACTTTCCCTGTCTGGCTTGGGCAACCTGGCAGTATCCCAGCCTCGTGCAACCTTCGGGTGGCATGGCAGTTAGGCACCGAAAGGGTGCTACAGCTGAGTGACTACCTCAATCGGCTCGCCCACAAGCATGAGGTTAGGTTCCGAGCCCACCTCTTGCAGTAGCACTTAACACTTTGCATGTGTGAAGCCCATGCAAAACCGTGAGGCGGAATTATTTAGATTATTTGATATTGTTTGCATTACAACGGGGTCAGAACCAAGAAGAGCTATATCATCTGCTTACTCGATATATGTGAGCGGATTCCTCGGGAGCACGTTGACCCCATAGGCGTTGGAGGCTGATAGTGAGTCTTCCATGATCCTATCAATGAAGAAGTTGAAGAGGAAAAGTGAAGGAGGACAGCCTTGCGTGTCACCACTTGGTGCAGTGAACTCAGTTGACTTCCCGTAGACCTACACACGTCCGCGAGAGTTGGCGCACGGCGCCTTAAGGAGGGCCGAGAATTTCTTGGAGAAACCTTATCTCCACAGGCACTGCAACAGTGCCTGACGGTCCACAGATTCAGTTAGCTTTTAATTCCAGAAAGTCTTGAAAGACGGAACGCAGCTTGGTTTTCGCGGATCTGCCTCTCCGGTTGTTCAGTCAACTGTCGAAAGATAAAACCAGAGAGGACCTTCAATGCCACAGCTACCAGGCTGATTCCACGATGATCTTCACACAGCGTCCGTGTGTCGTTTTTGAAAATAAGGATCACTGTCGATATGCCCCATTCTGTAGGCAATTTCTCTTCGTTCCACATAGTACCAATAGGCTTTGTCAGTGTTTTCATGAATTTTTCTACTCCTTTGGAGAGGACTGGATACAGACCGTCCATTCCTGATGCCTTCTCACGTTTCAGTACGGTTATTTCGTACTTTATTTCTTCCTTCGTCGGGCAATTAAGGTTTACATTCCATTCGCCCGTATGCACGTTCTCCACAGGCTGGGTTGCAGCGGGCCAGTTAAACTGTTCTTCGAAGTGTCCGGCTCATCTTCGCAGTCGACGTTTTTGCCAATGAATTATTGAGCCGCCTTCTTCATTTACCGTTTCAAGTGCTATGCAAAATCGTTCAGCTGTAGCACCCATTCGGTGCCTAGCTGCTATGCTACCCGAAGGAAGCACGACGGCTGGGATACTGCCAGGTTGTCCAAGCCTAGACAGGGAAAGTCGAGAGGCAGAGGTCAGGTTCGAACCACGGACCTTCCGGTCAGCAAATTCGCGCTCCAACCACTTGGGCCATTTCGCCCCCATCTCCCGAGCTTTCGATGTCCACCACAGCTCTCAGCATCTCCTTAGACTCTTCATTGTTTGACGTTTGACGGATTTGTGTGTGCCGTCGTACTTGTTGCCTGCTGGTATGGATTTCCTGGCATCAACCATGGATGGTGACCTCGACAACATCCAATGGTCTTTTGGACGGGTCGGAGAAGTCGGACAGGCAGTACTGAACGCCACCAACATAGCTCCTTTCGCATTTTGTCACGCTTCATTCACACGCTTACTGCCTAGCTCAGATTGAGACTGTTGAGCCATGGTAATTCTTCGATAATAGTGGATTGGCATGCTTCTTGCTGACTTGTAAGGGCCTGGGGGAAACAAACTGTCGAGCGTGCACACACCCTGACGTGACCGGAATCAAGTTTTGTTCCCCAGAAGGAACGGCAGCCTTGAATTTTAGTTCTCCACTGGAGGCTGAGGGTCACGTGATCCAAGTGGGTCCATGGTTGATTTGCACTTGGTGGCCGCCAGGTTACGCGATTCGAACGTCTATGTTGAAAGTTCGTACTTGCCATAAACGGCTCATGGCACACAACCGAAGGAGTCGATCTTCGGTCGTGAGGCGAGCATCGACTACGACTGTGCACCTGTACGCTGCTGCTTTTCATTACCCTTTTCAGGTCTACACAAAATGCGCACACTTAGCTGAGCCAATGAGAAGCTAGTGGTTCCTAAATCCAACAAAACTATCGGAACCGGTTCCTCGAACGCCTATCGGACGGTCCGATGTCGGATGTAAACAGCCACTGTAAACATATCCAAAGCGATACTTGAAGGGGGAACTTCAGCTTGCGCTACAACCCAACCTCTGATAGGACTATGCCTTTGTCGGAGGCCCGGAGACAGAGCCCCCTGGCCACAACCACACCTCAGCCCACACATTATCCGACGCCAGGTGAAACTGAGTGTCCGTGCAGATCGAGAAACTTGGCGGACCTGAAAGGTCGAAGAAATGGAAGATGCAAGAAATGCTGGAAACGTCCACACACTGTTCCACGTGGTTTGTTCGACTATTCCTCGGAAGCTCCTCGTGAGCCAAACTATCACGGACCAAAATGGGTCCCTGTTATCCATCCAAGCAGAATATTTGTACCACTGATAACAGTAATTGGCGCCAACTGCTATCTACAATCCAGAATCATGGCCTTCAACAGAAAGATGGACTGTGAATTTGCAGCCACCTCGAACTTCAGAAGTGTCTAACTGTTTATCTCTACTCAAGCGTCATCGCGCTGCTGGTCCTGACTACCATCCACCTGCTCTGTTCAAAGATGGTGGTGGACTTCTCAACCAATCCCTATCCAGCCTATTTGGGTCTGTCTGGAAGAAAGAGACCGTTTCAGACAACTAGGGTGAGTCTACAACCGTGCCCATCTAGAAGAAAGTACTCGAAGTAAATGTGGTAACCACAAAGATGTTCGTTGGGCTCCTGTTGTGACAAGGCTTCTGAGTCACGCGAAACCTGCGGTGACCACATATCCACACTCTGTCAGGTGTTAGAGCAACCCAGATGTACAGACGACGCACTATATTGGTGTCCCTGGACTTCAATGGTGTGCTCGTTTCCGTTTATCGGTCTGTCTTTCCAGTCACACTTGATTAATAGGCTATGCCCTGGAAGCTTGCGAACACGATCCGACCACCATATTCACGTATATCTGGACGTGTGAGTGTATGGTGAGCTAGCCAAAAACTCCCCTACAAAGAGTGGCGTACGACAAGGACGTTCACATTTTCCGTTCTTGTCCAACTTCGCCATTGATGAGGTAATGAGAGGAACCCGGAAAAGTCTTTGGAATCCGGCTGTTCAAGTTGTTGCCGATTCTTGTCGAACTAGGGTAGGCAGATATTTGAAAGATATTATGAAGAGTTAAAGTGCTGTTCATTTTGTAGGCCTTCCAAGATGGGGTCAATGTGACCTCGCTTGCGTTTGTCGGGAGACATCGCAAGAAATGGTGGCTGATCGATGTTCGTGGATTTCGTGCAGTCAGTTTCTTCCCAAATTGTCTGATTGAGTGCTTGGAGGTGTAGGACGTATTCCAGTTCTGGGTAAGAAAGAAAGAAAGCGTTCAGCCGTAGCACCCTTTCGGTGCCTAGCTGCTATGCTACCCGAAGGAAGCACGAGGGCTGGGATACTGCCAGGTTGCCCAAGCCTAGACAGGGGAAGTCGAGAGGCGGAGGTCGGATTTGAACCACGGACCTTCCGGTCAGTAAATTCGCTCTATAACCACTTGGGCCATCTCGCCCCCATCTCACCAAGCTCTGGGTACCTCTTTCTCACCCACTCTTTTTTACTGTTTCACTCCAAGGTTTCAAGTATAATTACATGAACTTTAGGGTCGTACGGCAGTGAAGCATCAGTGTCAACACTGATATTGCTGTCTCTAGTGATTATCGTGATCATGATCATAAGCACGATGATGACAATGATAATTATCATTCTACTTAATCAAAATAATGCCACAGGATTTGATGTATGACTGAAGCCTCCAAATCACCAAGCGCTACCGTAAGTGCTGGTGGGATTAAGTCCAAACCCCATGCATGCAGACCAGCCAATGACACCGTAGCCACATTTGGTCACCTGGGTGACTCGAGATCAAGCTTAAAGCCTCGGAACTCATTATACCTGCTGAATAACAAGCGTCCTTATCTGTCTACTGGATTCGTTTGAAACTCTGCTGTGTATCAGAAACAAGAATCCGAGATGCATGCACAGACGTCAGCTCATATCGCTGTGGTTGCCACAAATCTGAATGCACAAAAGGACAGGCTTAGCACATCTGAGACTCAATTGGGCAGTTGAAACGGATTGGCCTCGTTAAGTGCAGACAGTGACGAAAGATTGTTTCGGCTATGTGCTGACTGTCCTCATGCAGTACTTACTTCCGAAACAGCAGAATTCGTTTGGCCACATGATGTCATAACAAGTCGTGTCAGCTACAAACTCATCGCAATTAGTTACGAGTAGTGTGGATCAGTAGCTGAATGCCGCTCATTTTGGAACACATATGTGGATTCTGACGGCGCGCTCAACTGGAGTCGCTTCAAACTTCGTTTTCCAGGGCCGCGTAAAGTGTGAACGAATGGCTCAGCAACTGAGGCGGGCAGATCTGGAAGTCAGTCTCTTTCAACTGCTCCACCGGAGAACCCGCTCAGGCACTACATTTCAGACACAATGACACTGCTTGGACCTCTGATAGATGTCTCCGCTGGTCCTAAAACCTAATTTCGCCCAACGAATTATCAGACGTGAAGCGAACATGAGCATGCGCGCCGACCGTAAAGCCTGTGGGATATTGAAGAAATAGAAGGGGTTCAGAAAGTCTCGAATGCCCGAAGATTATTTTAGTTAAGCCGTGGGACATGACTCCGGAAACCACCTGTAAGCGAAACCGTCATGGATCAAGCTGGCTGTCTTTTGGCGGCTCATGAAACATGGGATTGTGGCCTGGTAGGGGTTGTGTTGAACAAATCTTCAGCCGACACGTGCTAGAGCAACGCCATACGTACAAACGTCCCACAATTTTTGTATTCTTGGGTCCCCGAAAAATTTACTGGACCGGTCTGGTCTTAATACGACTTGCACAACAAGGAATGTACCGGAAGTTTTTTGAACATATGTTTTTGTTAATCTCAAACGTTTGTGCGTGTGAGAGTATATGAATAGTTATACCAAATCTTCCGTACACAAAGTGGCGGCCGCCCGGCGAGTCCACTCCTGTTCCTATTCAACTTTATGTCGACCAGAAAATGAGATGAAAGCCAGGTTTCCAAAACCCTGGCATCCAAGTAGCTAATGACGAAAATTTCGTTCATCTGAATTATCCAAACGACACCGTTCTCGAAAGAAAAGGGTCGAGTCAGCTGGTTGGTAGCCACCATCATCCGCGTTCCAACAAAGACCGCAAGCGGCGGAAGTCACATTCCCTCCGTTCATTTACTATATATCTTAACGCCTCGCTGGTTACACTCCGCCCGTAGCAGCATAAACCGGGTTGAAAGTAATTGTGTTATTGCTGCCTGCCAGTTCCATGTTTTCTACTAATTCCAGCTCGCCTTCGCGCGGATTGCCAGCAGCCTGGTTTTCGACCAATGGCGTACCAGTTTGGCTATAGGTACTAAGGTATGGTCTCATGGATTCACGGAATGATACTCAGGTTCAAGCCTTTCGCCCGAACTTCCTGGATGGGGTTATTGTCGTCCAGCGACCTCCGTCCAGCTGAAAAGTACAGGCAAAAATGGGTGTAGCACTAATCCTCAGGTAAACTTGCAAGCGCGGAGGCTCAACAATGCGTCTATACTGGGTGCTAGATGCAGCGTGAACGACCGTCGGAGGAAGGTTCTTCCACGCACCAAATACCCTGTGGTGTTTTGTATCACTCTTTTGCTTCCATTATGACATTGTCAATTGAATAGGCGTTCTTTGTTTGAGTACGAAAAACCACAAAACGCGCACCTGCACAAGTTCGCGCAATACAAACGTGGTCACGTGCTTCTACTCTCTCTCTCTCTCTCTCCTGATTTCGCTCGCGCTTACAGCGGTCAGTCGCGAGTCTCATTTGCTCTGGGGCCGTGGGCTGGCGGTGAAAATCGTGGCAAATATATGGCTCGATAAACTTCTGTGGCGTTTTGTACCTTTATTTTACTTCCGTTAAAACACTACGTATTTCATCAATTGCATAATCGTTTTTTGTTTGAATACGAAAAACTACAAAAACGCGCACATGTACAATTTCACAGAATACAAGCGTGGTCACGTGCTTCGACTCTCTCTTCTGATTTCGCTCGCGCTTGCAGCGGTCATTCGCGAGTCTCATGTACTAACTCTAGTAGCAAAACATTTCATACATCTTCGGAATCTATTATACGTGGGAACTGTTCAGAAGAAGACCTCTGGACCAACATAACTGGATTATTGTTTATTCGCTGACCTGAGCCAACGACGAACTATTTTAAAGAGAACAATTGTTAGTGAGTCTGTTCCGTCTGGTCTCTTTATTTTTGTATACTCAACCTAGCGTAATCATTTCTATTTCTTTGCCACACACTCCTGGTAAAATAACTTATTGGGTAGCCAGACCACTACACATCCACCCTCCATGTCTCATGTCATTAGTGCTTTCGTTGATGACCATAGCCTGGTACGGCTAGAACAAACAAAGGAAAATATCCATGTGACACCCTAGTCGCCCCGTTAGTTCTGTCTCCCGCCCTACAGTCAATACTTCCACGGATTCCGATTCAATACATTCCGCCGCCTCACAACTGCAAACTGGATTCGGTACAATGACCGGCCGCCCACAACGGCTGGATATCAAAAAGCATCGACCACGCTCAAGATCTGGATCGGATTCTCGATCCCGTCCATCTTGATGCTGGTATCACCAAACTTTCGGTCCTCAGACGCATAAATGCCAAGAGCCTAGTTACTTCAAGTCGCGTACTAAAAGCCCCTTAATCAACCGGGCCCATCTGTACTGGCGACGACTGTTCGG